ATGGATATGTTTAAAATAATGTTTATTTACTATAAATATAATCGCTTCTCGGCCTTTTGGCTAAGATCAAGTGTATGTACTATAAATATGAAGCCCTTTTTGCACTCATTTAGAAATATAATTTTGGTAGTAGTTCATCTTCTACAGTGTTTCTTCCAATGCCAGGTATGATCATATCTTACCTTTTTTGACACCTTAATCTTACAAAATTGTCATATTTAAAAACCTGCTTTGAATGATATTTTTCTAAATAATTTAGTATAAACATTTGGTGTGCATGTTTAGTGTATTTAAATTTAGTATTCTTTATCACAGATCTCAAGTGTCCCAAATGGAAGCCCAATTGACAAAAGGTAAAACATTTAAAAATATTCTTTTTCTAATCTTTATTAGTTTATATACCTAAATGGTGAAATAGCCATTCTAAATCCAGTATCATAAAACTCCTTGATTTATATCTTTGCGTACAATATTGTACTCTTCGGGACTAATTTTAAATAGAAAATGTTTAAAACTTTAGATGTTGTCAAAGACCAACAGTTTTGGATGCTGTGAAAATCAAAAATTTTAAGGGAAAAATTTAAACTAAGGACTAGGTATGGTACAAAGCCACTTTCCTCCCCATATCCCCATACCCCCCGCCTCCCCGAGCAACAATTAAATTTTCAGATAATGAGAAACTGAACATGACCCATTTCTTATTAAAGATTTTATTTATTTATTTGAGAGAGAGCACAAGTGGGGGGAGGGACAGAGGGAGAGCGAGAAGCAAACTCCCTGCTGAGCAGGGAGCCAGACTGGGTGGGGGGGTGGTTAATCCCAGGACCCTGAGCTCATGACCTGAGCCCAAGGCAGATGCTTAACTGACTGAGCCACTCAGGCGCCCCTGAATATGACCCTTTTTTAAAATGGTTTTTGTGTGAAAACAATTTTTATTTATCTTCGGGAAAATAGTTAGGGGTGGGCTTACTTCATTGAGTCATGACCTCAATACATAAAACACTTAAATTTTTTTTTTTGCATTTCATTTTTGCTTAATCACTTTATGTATATGCATATGCATGCACATAAATAATTGAGTTGGTTGATTTAACCAATTAAATCTTACAGTTTCATTAGTGAGTGAGTCTGTTTGATTAACATGTTATGATTCACAGACCTTTTCACAAACCTGTCAAGAAACAGAAAGCCTGAACCAGATAGATTAGTGGAACAGTAAATTCTGTCAGTAAGAGTTAGGTTGCTCTTCAATGAGAATAAACTATGGCAGTGTTTCCTTTCAGTCATTCACTTGAATTATTGCGAATTCAAATTCAATGTATATGAGGCACTTATTCTTTAATTATACATAGCTTAATATATAAAATTTTAGCTTTGATTGCCATGCAGAAAAGAGGAAAGAATTATTTAGAAATGTGCATTTCTCTGCTTCATTACTATTTTTAATATTTCTAGATTATAGACCCAGATGAATTAGCAAGAATTAAGTAATAAATATTATGATTAAGGGCTAAGAGTTTTGGAAGTGTCCATTTTAATGTCTGTAGTGATTATATTTTTAAAAGTATGTTTTTAATATCTCAAGAGAAGATAGACATTTATTTGTTGCTTTGCAAACTTACCGGTAGAGTTCTTGTCATTTATTACTTCACATTATGATTATATCTGATCAGTATTATGAATATTTGAGAAGGTATATGAAAAAGTATTAATAATTATCTTCAACTTTAATTGGAGCTTAACCAGCTTATGAACTGTAGAAATAGGAACAAATAAAGCATGATACTCTTTTATTCATGTTAAGACTATGGTAGAGCATGGCATACTACTATAGTTTTTCTATGGAAAAATCATGAAGTAATAGGCTTTGAAATGCTGGAAAGCTAATGTCACCGTGAAGAACATGAAGTAGTAACTTTTCATATAAGTTGTTTTAATATTGGACATTTAGATCCTGCTGCTGAATTTGATAGACTATATTTGGTGAATCTCAGGAAGTAGAAATATTGGCTTAAACAGAAGTATTTTAAAGAGAATTTCTAGTCTCTATGAGAGAGTAAGGCAGTCTAAGTTACTTTCTATGAGCTTTTGGAAAAGTCTTGAAGATGGGTTGATAGTGTTACTGTGAGTTACTACTCTTGCCAGCCCCCATTCTACTTGGCTGATAAGTCACAGTTAATAAGAGTAATAGTGGGAAGTGGAAGAATGGAAGAAAGGTTGGTTGGGGAATAATGGACTTAAGGATGATAGGGAATATAGGACATCGAGAACAGAAAAAGATCATAGAATGAATATATAAAATTCCTCTTAAATGGCTTCCCCCCCATATTAGTGTTAATTCATATAAATGTTGCCTAACTTCAGGAGGAAGATTATTCAATTCAGTTTAGTTCAAATAGGGAAATATGGACTGAATTTCCATGCTGTGCAAGGCACAGTGCTAGATATTATGAGGAATATAAAGATGACAGCTGTATCATCCTTGCCCTCAATGCATTAAACGTTCTAGTAAGGCAGACAAGACATGTGCAGTATAATGCAGAAGATGCATTCTATAAAAGGTTACCAAAAGGTTGCATCAAAAAGGAGGAAAAGTTATTTCTGGCTTGAATGAGTGTAACAGCATTTAATTTAAGAAAGACAGGTGGGTTGAATTTTAACACGAAAATATGAGGAACAGGTGTTACAGGTGGACTGAACAGTTGAAACAAAAACAAGGGTGTTTAGAATCTACACAGTGTGCCAGGGAAAGACCAGTAATTTTTTTTTTTTTAGTTTAAACTGAGGAAAAAATGGGAGATATGACATGAGAAAGGTTGCTGTAGCTTGATAGATTTTATAGAATTTCCCTTAATAGCTGTAGGTTGAATATTGCTAAATATAATAAAAAATCAAACTGTTAAGCACATGGCACTATATTATTCATCAAACTTCATTTTGGGTTACTTCTTAGATCCTAATAGAATTTCTGAAATACTTTGGAAAAGTCTCCCTAACCTTCAGAGAGTGGATGGGAGCAAAGTAAGGAGATTCCACCTGAACAGACACATGGTATTGATTACAATAAAGTACTTTTTTTTTTTTTTTTTGCGCTTTACAACATTTAGCGATTTGTTTTGGTTAGGGAATGACTTAGTGGCAAATATTTAATCAAACACAATAGATGTTAATAATTTAGTGTTTCGCATCAAACGTGGTGTTAGCTTTTCTTAAATGTTTTATAGCATTGAAATTTACACTTTTTGGATATGAAAATGTAAACTGTTTCTTGGTGTTTTATTTTTAAGAGTTATACATCCAACCTAATTCTTTCTAAATCCTTTTTTTACAACTTTCCCCCCAACACTAAGCACAAAAACATATACAAAAGAGGAAGTGTATTAATATGTGTCCATTTTTTCCCATAGATGATTAGCTATTAAATTTATTCATTCATTTATTCACTAAACTCAATCATTCAACAAATATTGTCACCTTCATATGCCAGGTACTCTTTTGAGCATTGGGTTTTACTGATAACAAAAATAAGCTTTCTTTTCTTGTGATGTTTACATTATAGTGGGGAAGACAGGCAAAAAAACAAGTGAGAATACATGAACAAGATAATTTTATAGAGTAATAAATGAAGAGAACAAAACTCCCTTTCTGATAGGGAGTCACAGGGAAGGCTAATTTAGATTGGTGGTCAAGGATGATTATTATGTATCAAGAAAAGGGATGTCTAACTATGAAATTAAAAAAACCTGTCATAATTTTTTGACTCTTTCCAATAAACTACAAACGGAGATTTACCTTTTTAAAAACCCTAAAGGAGACTTTATAATTTCTTCAATTAATGATTGTGCAAGTAACATATTACTTGTGGTCCAAATTATAGACATTAGTTAGATTTTATAGAGGAAAGCTTACAAACTAAGAAACAGTAGAGGGTACAGTATCTCCTGAGCTGTCATTATTCTGCAGGAAAGTACATCAAATTCACCATGGAAAGTGCTCCTGAGAGGGACTTGCTCCTCACATAACCCTACAAAATTATAGAGGCATTGAGAGGGGATAGAGAGCACCTAGTCAACCATGTAACAGTGAGAGATTCCTGCTTGGGGCAGTGGCCTTGTTAGAAAAAGGAAGCTCCTGGAGGAGTAGGCATTTTGTATGTTAACATAGCTGGTATCAGTGAGAGCTATTTTTCCATTCAACAGTCCTGGTGAGCCAGCTCTGCCAAAACACCGAAAGGGAGAATGGAGAGAACTACCAGGGCCATGCCATAACAGAGATTTGTCTGTCCTCTGTCTACTTCTTGGTCTTGGGGTCTCACTAATAGGTCTCTCCATTAGCTCCAGCTGACACCTGGTCCTGATCATAACAATTTCTACAGTATTGCCTGGGAGAAAGATGACAGTAGGGTCTCCAGCTGGGGTAGGTGTGGGTGCAAAACCAGCATAAATAAATACATTCACAGATTATAAGCTTTACTTCCTGGACAGCCAAAGGCTGTTTTGGAATATCTGTACAATATCTGCAGTAAGAGAGAAATTTATTCATTATCTCCCTTGATATCCCCCCTCCAACCATTTCCCAAGGTCAGACATGTTCATGCTTGATAAACTGAGATCTGTTATTCCTTCTTGGAGATGAGCCAGCTTGTCATTTTTTTGGAGTGATAAATTCAGCAGGGACCCCAAAGTTACTATTTTTCCCTCAGAAGTCACCTGCAGGGTTAGAAGAGGATGTTTGCAGAAGAATCTGATGCAAAGACAATGTCCATCTTTTAAATGAGCAGTCTGATTTGTCCATTCATATGCTGAGATCAAAGGGAGTAAAAAAAAATGGGAATATAATATTTATCTTGAAATAATCTTTTCTTTCACTCTTTAGTTCCAAAGTACATTGGAATTCAACAAATGCAGAGAGGCCCTTGCAGGTTATGTCATCTTATAACTTGTGAACAACAAGGGGAAACTGGATTGACAAGCACTGTGGAGGTTGTTTTTAAAGAAACTGGCTTAGATGGCAAGTAGAATAGGCTTGATGGGCAACAGTGGCTTCTCTGTCTTTTAGATAAATTCCCTATTAAACATCTAGTTCCTTCATGGTGGGATAGAATGGAGATGGACCCAAGACCATAGTAGACACAAAGGTCATACGTTCTTGATTGATTTTTTTAGATCAGATATTTTTCTTTTAGATTTAGCTCCTTCTTGTGGGCATGTACACATGAAAAATAAGGATTAGGGCGCCTGGGTGGCTCAGATGGCTAAGCAAGTGTCTGCCTTCAGCTCAGGTCATGATCTCCAGGTCCAGGGATCGAGCCCCACATCGGGCTCCTAGCTCAGCGGGGAGTCTGCCTCTCCCTCTCCCTCTGCCTCTCCCCCTGCTTATGCTCTCTCTATCTGTCTCTCAAATGAATAAATAAAATCTTAAAAAAAAAAAAGAAAAAGAAAAAGAAGGATTGAGTTTGTTACTAAGTTGCTCTACCTATTTCCTTGGGTAGGGGGTGTCTCAGAAAAAAATATGTGTATTTAATAGTTTTGTCCTGTGTGGCCCAATGGCCTGACCATGTCACTGGGCCATTAGCGATGGCTCATGAGTGTTTGTAAAAGTATAATTCAATCTAAGAGTGTGCTCTGTGGCTATGAACAATGCCTGAAATTCACCTAATTTTGAAGAATGTCCAATTCTATGGGATCTTAACAACTTACCATTATTCTGGTGGACAAATGCAGTACCTCAATAGATTTTATGACTTTTGAGAGAGACTGTTGGATCAGTGAATCATACTTTCTTGTCAGGTGGCAAATCTTGTAGGCAAGGCAAGGGTCTTACTAAGTCAATGGTTTGGTTAAAACAGCAGGGGAGTATCTCTGTGCCCAGTGAGTGTGCAGACATATTTTATTAATTTGGCCAAGATCCTAAGGACCAGGATTGGCCCTTTATTGGATGTGCTAAGTCAGTTTCCTTTTCAATAGAATTTTCCAGGCTTGTACCACCTTATGAGATTTTGGTTTAGAGAAGATCCATCATGGGATAGGAATGTTTGTTTGAAAAGTGAGAAAATCTACCCCATTGGGGCCCAATAATAGGCCAAGAGCATATGATATTTAGCAGTGGGAAGAAGTAATGGAGTTCAGAGTCCCAGGAACTGACAAATAATTTGAAGTATTGTTGCCAAAAGCTCCAGTCAGCAAAAGTTATTTACATGTCATGTACCTGTAATCCCATGAGTCTAAAGAATATAGCAGATATAAAGTTAAAATGTACTTTTGTGATGCCTGGAACTTTTCCATAGCTTCTTAATGTAGGAGCTTTCATTTAAAATTAGTTGCTCTGAGGGGCGCCTGGGTGGCTCAGTCGTTAAGCGTCTGCCTTCGGCTCAGGTCATGATCCCAGAGTCCTCGGATCAAGCCCCGCATTGCGCTCCCTGCTCTGCGGGAAGCCTGCTTCTCCCTCTCCCACTCCCCCTGCTGTGTTCCTGCTCTCGCTATCTCTCTCTCTGTCAAATAAATAAAT